AACATAATCCGACCCCCCCCCCCCCAAAAAAAAAAAGAAATATATCCCTGAGGTCCATTCGTCTTAAACTGAATAGAACTTACAGACGCTTACCCAAAACTAATCCTAAAATATTTTCGCTTGAAATAGTTTAACTGAAACAATGACTTTGTGTCTACATTTTCTTACTTCGGTACATAATGTAGAAAGATAAGGTTAATTTATCTAGTGATCACACTCATTGTTTATCTTATTTAACTTGATTTCCCCTCGAGTCTTAAAGTGTTCTAAATGTTATTTCGCAGCGGAAATAAAAGATAGCAAAATTCAGTCACCATGGTAAACATAATATCAACAAAGACAGATCTATCAGTGAGATTGTATCTTCCTTTCGATTTTAGAGAGAATCCAAGCGATTTTCTCTCAGAGATATTCATTACAGATACATAAAATTGTCTGAAATTGTCTGCCATAGCTGCCAAGTAGTTATTACAAAAATAATTGACCGCGTCATAACGCTGTAGCATCTATATATTATAAAAATGTTAGTGAACAATTGGCTTACAACCCGGATTGGAGCCATTTTGCCAGTTTCAATAATGTCTGTGTTAGATTAGGGCAGAGTTGTAAGAAGGTAATAGCATTAGTTATGCTGAGAACTTTTGTGATTAAGACTTTCATCATCGCCCGGTGTCTGCATTTACGAAGCAGACGACGTGCAAAAAGTTATTTGTTAGAACTGGTCATTCGCCCGAGGCTAATACTGCAGTATTGATAAAAGATGGACGATCTGATTTATTGAAAATGTAAGATAAAATGACAACTTGGCGCTGATGAAATGCTTATCTTTATTTATAGGTTTTCATATAAAACATGAAACATAGAACGGTTACTATCACTGCGAAAAATATATGGATATACGAAAGTATATTGTTTCATTTTGAGGAATTTATTTAAGTTACATGTTTTTCCTTTCTCCGGCAAAGGTTCGGTTGCTATTTTATTGAAAACAGGCGTGTTTAGAGTGTAACAAAAAATAAATCAATAAAAAGGGCAACTAGTGACCACGAAAACCTGAAAACAACAATTACAATAACATCAAAAGTCACATAATCAATATCCTATGTGATATGAGGCCTCGAGATATGATCAGAACTAACTCGTGGCCACGTTCTTGATTATTTATCTAATGGCCACGCAATAGGAGTTGACTTTTTGCTAATTTTCTCACTTGGTCACAAGTCAAGTGTGCAGTTTTATTTCTTTTTATTATCTCTTTGCCATGAAATAATAAAAAAGATCCAACATATAATTTCTGCGGACCCGTATTTGCATCCGAGTTAGATTGAGTAAATAAAGAGAATTGAATCAACTCATTCCGACCAAAAACATTTGTTATGAATGCACCAATTACAATCTTGACATTTTTTATGATTTGTGTACAAAAAATACATGAAGAAATATGATTAAGTAAAAAACATTCCAGTGCTTGGGCGGAATAAACATATGGAAGGAAATTAAATGTATCTTGTTTATAGCAAGAACAATTTCATTTATTTATTGTAGAACATTAAACAACCCTATCAATTAGGAGCACTTTAAATTGGATCAATTTTACTGCAGTCTTTATCCATCTTTCACATTTAAAGGAAGCAAAATGATTACAAGACATACTTTTAACTTAGTATAATGCATCAATTAACTATAGAAACTTTCAAAATACAGTAATAAAGCACTCTTCCTAATGGCATATTAAAACGATAATTTGCATAAACACTTAGAGTAACGTTTTGTAATGTAAAATATGATGCATTTCCTGATTTTACATGAAAAAGTTACAAAATATGAAATTAGAATAAGTCGCTTACATATTCCAAAGTCGGATATACCTTGTAATTCATCTTGACATGTGTGTTTATATTTAACATTCTTAAAACGAAAACAAATGCATAGTAAACAAGGAAGAGAATAAACAATAAATCAACACTAGCAACCATAATGATCTTCATTTACTAATCTCTATCCGTGCATGGGTTCGCGTGAAATATCGCAGTGTTAGAATAATTATACGTGTAATAAATGTCTAGTCGACTAAAAACGTATGCAATTTCATGACTCAATATATAATGCATATGTTAAACGTTTCGAGCGCTTTTAGCCAAATATTGTCGTCTACAGCCAAAAATACTTCTTGTCAAAATAAAATACAAAAACATTTATATGACAGGCAAATAAATCAGAATTCTTTGTTCGTGTTTATTTTCTTGTTTCTTTTTGTTCCGTGCATAATTAGTTATGGATCTATGAAAGAAAGAAACTAATTTTTAAAAATAGCAATAATGAAATAAAGATTTTATATAAATCTATACAAGTATTTGTCATTTTATACATTAAAATGTAGATAACAGTTTTTGCTCGGGTTGACCGACGCGAATCTTTAGTATGTCGCCAACAAAGAAATATTCTTAATCTATTTGATTTTAATCGATTTTTTGATAATCAATAGCATAATATCTTTCATTAAAGGCAAAATGAGATCATGAAAGTGTGCACATACAACTAATTCGAAAGGCCTTTATCAAAAACTTAAACTTTTTTTCAAACATTTCCACCAACGAAACGTAAACTTTATTTTCAAACTTTTCTACTGAATGTACACATGCGAAACATGTCCAGTATACGATAGTGTAAGTTTGAGTTTTTTTAACGAATAATGTAATTGCAAATTTCAGTAAGATTTGAACCGAAATCAAGTAATCGAATAACATATCAACTAAAACTGGAAAGGTTAATTTGTTATTAACAGTGTTTTTCCTATGAAAAATTTAGTTTCTGAGTTTGATTTGTTTATCTAAAATACGACTATTCTTTAATCGTTACTTATATAAAACGAAAATGGTTATTTAAATAAAAGTGTCCAAAGAAAAGACAGTTTAAATGATAAAATAGAAAACAATGAATGCGCATTAATGACGGAAAAACGTAAAAAGTATATCAACACAATTTGTGAAACGATTTAATCTGTTTATGTAAATATGTTTAACACAATAATTTTGAGATCAAATTTGAGATCAAACAACGACTTCCCCTTTATTTATAAATGATTCGTCATGACAGGGTATGATTAGAATCATTGATAGACTAATTTGGATTTCACGACATTTAGCATTGACAGAATGGAATTTAAAACCCGAAGCCATTAAGTTTTATATAATAATAATAATAATAATAATAATAATAATAATAATAATAATAATAATAATAATAATGATGATGATGATGATGATGATGATGATGATGATGATGATGATGATGATGATAATAATAATAATAAAAACAACAACAAAAAACAGTCTTTATTAGTAAACGAAAATTTTGATGAAAGTAATAAAGTAATCATTAATCAAAATGTAACAAACTTTACCAATAACTTTCAAATATGTTCACAATATTTTGTTATTTTGTGTGCTGATATAGGTTGAGCCTTAAAAAATATTTCTGCACGGTAACTGTTATTTGTTCATGCTGAGTGTTTTCCAATAGGCTTTTATGATGGCACAGATTACAGTTGTTTACATTTTTACCAGACCATCGTAGTTTTAGAACAGAACAGAACACCCTAATTCCAAACAATACAGAACGACCTACGTTCCAAATAATACAGAACGACCTATTTTCCAAACAATACAGAACGACCCTCATTTCAAACAATACAGAACAATACGACCTAAGTTTCAAACAAATCAGAACGACCTATTTTTGAAACTATACAGAACGATCCTTGTTCCAAATAGTACATAACAATACAGAACGACACACTTTCCAAACAATACAGAACGACATACTTTCCAAACAATATAGAACGATCTTCGTTCAAAATAATACATAACAATACAGAACGACACACTTTCCCAACAATACAGAACGACATACTTTCCAAACAATATAGAACGATATATTTTCCAAACAGTACAGAACGACCTACACAGAACGACTTACGTTCCATATAATACAGAACGACCTACGTTCCAAACAATACAGAACGACAAACGTTCTAAGAAGACAGACCGACCTACTTTCCAAAGAAAATGACCTTTGCTTGCTGATGTTTAACAATTACCAATAAGACTGATAGCATCTCGCTGTATAATGAGTACCTTGTCTTTATCTTAATTTCTCTGGTCAGATATCTAAATATAGACATATTATTACAATGTTCACATGCCACTCATATTTGACGCGATGAAATTTAATGAAAAAAGACATGCGCCATAAATTTGTGTAGAACGCAAAACGATGACAAGTTAGTGAAATAATTAAAGACTTAAAGAGCAAATATAAAACTCTTACAGTCAAGCTTAATCATGAAAAAAATGTGTGTTTTTATATATAAAAAAACAACCTTAAAACAAAATAAAGAAAGAAAATAAATAATGAAAAAAATTAATGAATGACATATCATATAATTACATTGTTCTGTAGACTCATTACTGAATAAATTGTTGTTGTTGTTGTTGTTATTATTATTGTTGTTGTTGTTGTTGTATTGCTAACAATGTATTTCAACTTTTGCATTATTATGTTTATCAGATAGTTTATAATGTTATTTCTTGAATTTGTTTACAAAATAAAAAAGTAAATATAAGCATCATGTATTGAGATAAAAAAACTACCACAAACGTTCAACAATTCATAGCATCATTACGAACCACTCTGTTGTGTAACACATGTCTGTCAACATCTGTCACAATGACATCATGGAAATCAAATAACTGAAAAACCTAGCGCCATACCTAACTAGATCTGCCATCATACGTTACACAGCGGTTGTTACTATACGAGCCTACCAATACCATTGTTCTGTTTCAGTTAACTGGAAATAGTACATTTGTACTTGCAAATATTTACCGGATTTTTCTTCCTTCATCTTAACTGGTATTAGTGTCTATATTAATCAGAAATATATTGACAGCATAACAAGATAGCAGTCGGCTGTCATGATTTATAGTCATAACGCCTTATCAAAGATTTATCTTGACTATATTGCAGGTTCCGATTCCTTGCTTACGTATATCTCTTTTGGAAGAATACCAAAGCACTCCGCAGCCAATTATGATTCGCTTGGGCAAGCACCGAAATATTTCTGCGCCAGTGAAGTTTCCCGCGCAAAAAGACTGGCAGATAGAACTCTCGCTGCTAGAACGCAGCCAGATTTATACAGTATTATCGGATAACACGGAGTTTAGCCGTCGCAATGACAAAATGACCGAAGTTGTACAAGAAAATTCGAGTTTGGAATTAAATGATTGGATTAATAAAAGTGTTTTGGAAAATAATGTTAATTCAAGCAGAAATCACACATTTGAGGATTTTATGGATATTCCGTTAACAGGGCAGGATTACGTTCTTGTTGTGTTATACAGTGTCACAACGTTCCTAGCCATCGTTGGGAATTCAATCGCAATTGTGATATTTACCAAAGGAAAAAGATCAAAAACGGATTTAAGACCTTTCCTAATTAATTTAGCAGTAGCTGATTTAATTATGGCAATTTTCTGTATACCGTTCACGTTTACATATCAATTACTTAATTCTAATTGGGTTTTCTCAAGACCCATGTGTCCAATTGTGATGTTTTTGCAAACCGTCTCAGTAACCGGAAGTGTTATTACAAACATGGCCATCGGTATAGACCGGCTATGTGCAATCGCATTTCCGTTAAATGCAACGAGGAATAGATCTTTACGTTATCGTTTAATAATTTTATTCATTTGGATTATTGCAGTTGCATTTGCAGGTGTCCAGCTGAAGGTTGGTGACACGCAATTCGACCCGAATACCGGTTATACGGAATGCAAGGAAAATTGGCCAAGTGAAGATTTAGCAATATTCTATACAATTTTGGTTTTAATTTTGACATATTTAGTACCGGTTATTATTCTTACAGTCACATACAGTATTGTTGGGTATATCCTCTGGAAACGAAACTTACCAGGAAATGCTGATGCTAGTAGAGACAAAGTGCAACTTAATTCGAAGGTCAAGGTAAGCATGTATTTCAAGTTTTAAATTAATTTAAATATATTTTGTAGAATAAGACGACTTTAAAGCACGATGCTTTCAGATTCATGCTTATTTCATGAACAAATACAAAAAAAGACAAAAGGTCAAAATATGCAAAATATAGCCCTTACTGCGTTAGTCACACAGTCAAAATAACGGGATACTGCAAAAAACAGTTAAAACATGAATTATAACTTGAATGTATTTTTTTTTTAAATCTTGGTTCATTTTCCCCCAAGTTTGATTTTATCGAAATTATTTCGCTATTCTGGATTCTTGCAGCTTTAAATTAAACAAAACGAAAGAAAAAAATATCAAATAAATACCAATATAAAAAACACCAAGACACAAAATAAGTTAAAAATCAATAACAGATAAATAAAAAAATACATCAAATAGCATTAAACTACCAAATTATGATACAATTTATATTGATAAATAATTTGCTTTTTAAAAAATGTAGTGAATAATGCATTGACTTACAGACACAACTACCTGCACCTACAAACAAAGTTTGACTTTGTCTAAGTATATCAAACATGTTTTTGACAAAATCTTAATTTGTACGAAATTTCTCTGTCTTAAAAAGAAATTACTATATCAAGTATAAAAATGAAATTTATATCTATAATTCACATTATTTGCTCGCTAATGTAATGCATTCAAAGTAACTAAGGGAAGAAAGTAAAAACGTAACATTTGCAACCGCTGAACATAAGTTTCAAATACTGCAAATTTCGGAGAATATGCTTGGGCGGAAACCTTTGATGTTTATTTCAGTCTAATACGAATCTTTCTATATTGTTGTTGATCATCTTCGATGTTTTAATGTAAAAAGCAGTTGTTAAGTACATAATTAAATACACGTAAGACGTATCAGTTAGCAACAAGCCATTTAGTAGTGTAATAATTACTAAAACAGAGATTCTTCACGTTATAATCATGAAAAAATAACTAACTTGAATGTATTTCATTCGTTGAGAGTACATGATGCATATATTTTTGACTGAATGCATATATTGTTTAACATTGACAAACACGTAAAATATTAGTCGCTATGGTGTAAGTACTGGCCAAATCACTTCTTATTTACCTCAGTGTAAAGAATAAAAAGAGAATTAAGTTAGTATATAAACAAATTGCTGATTTCAAAACGTTATGAAATACTGTACAAATGTGATGTATATTTTATTTCTTCAAATGCATTGCATTTTGAAGTTTTTAAATCTGTTATAAAAATTTATGAAAAGATATCAAAATTGAAATGGACCTGTTTCTAGTAACTTTTTCATTCAAAGTAGTCGTTCTTGATATTCCTTTGAGGAAAGGAAGCGGAATTCTACCTTCGGTTAGGTAAATTTAATTTTCAATTCAAGTATTGAAAAAATCCGTCATTTGCTGTCTATCTTCTATCAATTTTCAAATGTTTTACAGAAAATATACTTATCTTAGTTTTTTTTGCAAATATATAATTTAAAGAAAGGAAAATGTTAATATCACTATGATACTGGGTATAATCGTCATTTTTATAACGTGTCCTTCGTCCTATAGTGTGTATTTCATCTCATATTGTGTATTTCGTACTTTAATGTATTTTCCGTGTATTTTGTCCTATAATATACATTTCGTCTTACAATTTGTATATTGTCTTATAATGCGTGTTTTCTATTATAATACATATTTTGTCTTACATTGTGTATTTCGTTCTATAATGTATTTTTCGTGTATTTTGTCTTATAATGGAATCGTGTATTTTGTCTTACATTTAGCATATTGTCTAATAATGTGTATTTTATTATTATACTGTGTATTTTGTCTTTTCATATGTTTATCGTCTTACAGTGTATTTTGAATAACAATGTGTATTCCTTCATTTGATCTGTTTTCTGTCTTATAATGTATATTTATTTGCATTATTTGTATTTTAACTTATATGAATAATTTTAATTGTATCTCGTATATTTCGTATTAGGTGTGTATATTCTCTTTTAATATGTATTTCAAATATTTCGTCTTAGATGTGTATTTCTTCTTACAATGTCCATTTCTTACAGTCTGTTTAGCTGTTTATTATTGTGGGAAAAAACTGTAGCGCCAGTTCTGTAACAAACAGGCAAGTATCCACCTCAAACGTTTCCCTCCAGTCTGTGTCAATTCAAAAGTAGTTTCCACAAATTTCTTCCAACTTGTCTGTAAAAAGTAATTTGTAATAACAGTCTAAATTTAAGTTCATGAGAGATATTTATGCTAACTAAATAGCCACAGAAAATGTATGCTACGCCCTGAAAAAGCCGGGTTATAAAGACATTATGCTTCCACTGACCTTACCTGGCGAACTCCCTGGAACCGGTTAATAAAGATAAAATGGCAATAGATCATACAAACTAACATTATACGAGTTTGTATAGGTGTATGTTTATTCTTATAGATTTTGAAACATTTTGAAAAGTAACTATCTTTTTCTTGATTTGAACGAAACGCCTTTTCACATTTGGGAATAATTTGAACTTTGAACGTTAGTGTCCCTGATTTATATGTGGCGTTATGAAATACAATGCTCGACAAAAGCAACAACTATGCAGCCATACAGGTGGCCAAATGCAATGAATCGAAACACCACGAGAATTAGGAGCTTAAGGAAAAGCAGTCGTGTATAAAATATATCTCAAATCCTGCCGTAATCGTTCTATAATCCAGGACTTCATTGCTGTATAGACATACAGGTGTTTTATACGCAAAGAAGAATTGTCTACGCATTAATTACAACCCTGCAGAAAATTAGTTTATTCTGGAAAATCTATTTATAATGAATTGATAGATTATTCTTGTTTGAAGTCACATAAAAGAGTGAATTAAAAACAAAATAGCTTTACAAATATAATACAAAATATTATGGCAGTGTTAATACATTAATTATCGGTGAATATTATTGCATACTTTTTTTGTCCAATTAGTAGTTTCCATCAAAATATCATTAGAGTGCTCAACTGTTATATTAAACTGTCTTTAATCTTAGTGTTATACAAAAGCTCTTTTATTGTGAGATCGTATGTATAAATTTCCAATAAATATCGTACATTCAGGGGTAAATCAACATACCGAAAGATTGGAAATGTTGAACATTTCATTCTGCGTAATAAATTGCATGTTATAAACACGTTTCATAAAATGCTCTTGAGATATATTTAATTACATTAAAACATAGTCATTTTCACCATATTAAAAGATACATTGCAAGTCATATATTTACAGTTGTATAAAATTTAATAATGCTTTTGTTATATCTATTTTATTTCAATTAAATAGCATCAACTCGCTATGCCCTTTTCTAGTATATTGACACATAGGAAGCAATTTATATGATTTATATCAAATAGTCATATAAAACAATCACATACAATGCATGTCTGATATTTCACACACTTATATCACTAAATGATCAACAAAAACAAGCAAACAAACACACGTATAAATATTGTACTTTCGGTTACAAATCTCGTCGACTGATACATTATAAAAGCACATCATTTTTGTTTCTCTAGGCAGAAAATGCAGAAATACACTGTTATAATAGAGACATGAACAAACTTTCTTGGGATATAAATATATATGTTCATACTGGTAGAAACACACAGGAGATACAATCTAAACTCGTTATCTATATATATCGGAAGTGTGTCTAACCTCTGTTTGTCAATGCTGTTTACAAATCAACACAATTTAGATGAGCCAAGTCTGAGAAAACATGACGATAGTACCAGTCATTTGTGTATAAATCGGAGATAAAAGCATTATTCTGTACATAATCATATATTTTTGTAAAGGAAATGGAATGTTGTAAAGAGAGGTGAATACCACAGACACTTGTTTAGAAGCGAATATAAGGCATTTATAATGACATTACTCCACTATATACTATAAATAACACAAGATGACCAACTACGAAATGTAAACAAACAAAACCGAAGCACATTTATCAAGTAGCTACAGAAACACAAATGCACTTGCAGAATAATTCTTGCATCATTTCATACCCGTAATATATGCCCTTTCCAATGATATATGTATCTACTAATAACTCCACTTTATAACAAAGAAAATTACATTTGTTTCCATCAATAGTCAGTTTTTTCCGACCTGTCATCTTGCGAAGCTGCTGAAAGTGAATGGTTCCAAAGCTTGTAAACGGAACCGTTGCGAAATCTATAAGCCGGGTGCAAATGTCACGTACTATGGGTTTCAACCGGTTTTTTATTTTCAAATGTAAAAATGAATATCCGCATTTTTTCCCCAAAGTTTCTTTGATATTGACTATACAATGCAAAACATGTATGTAAAATATAAACTATATTGTTTAATGAAACGCTTTGTAAAAAAAATAATAAAGTATTAGAAATTTTCACGGGCTCCGACTTGGAAAAGAATTTGCGCGAACTTTTCCCGCTAAATGTCAAGTAGGTGGAATAGGAATTTTTCCATCAAACTAGAATCGGGAAAGGGGTGACCCTGACTGTAAGAAACCCATTGATAATGAAGTAAATGAGCAGATTGATGTAATGAATAATTATGTACGTGATGTCAATCATGAGTATGGCTTCAAGTCGCCAAAATTTGTACTTGATTGTATTAGATACAGAGGAAAATCACATAAGAAACATAATTCTTTTTTGATTAGCGATTTATTTGTTGATGGCGTGCACCCTAGTGATATCACTTGTCAAAAATGGCTGTATCAAATAGTAAACAGTCTTTCCAGGCATTTGGTGTGGTAATTACTGATTGGAAATACATATGCATATAGCATATTTTTGGCTCAACTTTTTTCTCTCGCTCATTTAAGCATATAGAGCTTGTTACCTTATGTTTTCTTGGGATGTTCGGTGTCTATCGTCATTCTAAATTAAGATAATGTAAATTTTCGACAAAAGTTGTTCTCACGCTTTCCATTCACTTGTTATAGACTTCATTTTTAGGACTAAATG